GGTGGCTGACTGCAGTACAGGTCATAATGCCTGCTGCCTCCATGTTAGCAGATGGTTTCCGTCATTTTCGGTAGTTCTTATCACACTGATGTATGTTCAAATGTTTTTTTCTGATATGTTCGGTTTTAATTTGTTATTTAAAGCTATAGAAATGATTGACAGATGGTCGCGACTTCGTCAGCTGGGTGTATGGGCAGGTTCTTGATACCTCGGTGACAACCGTGGTCAATGCTACTCGCTGTAAATGGCGAAAGTTGGCAGCAGCTTGTATATATATTTTGGCTTCATCTTTGTACAATATGAGGAAGAGGAGAAGTAACATCTATCTTTTATATGTTGATGGTGCGGAGTACTGCCTCACCTCAGTCTTGTTCAAAGATTGCCAGGAATTGCATTTTGTGCCATTTCGGCTCACTCTTTGGTGTGCCTTGGGCAACAAAAGGTTTGAAACCCACTGATCCACAGTAGGGTTTTCTTTTGCAGCTTGTTTTGGATGGTTTAAAGCTCTTATCAAATCAACAGACAAAGCTGTTTTGTTCTCCCAGCAGCAGAGGCTTTTGCTTCCTTAGTTTTGAGAACACAATTCCCAGCTCAGAGGTCAACAATAAACACAGCTGTGTCCTTCATGATAACACTGTTTAGACCAGTGTTTCAAACATTTGGTTTCAATTTCTTTAATATCACCTACATTGTTCTTGAAGAATCTCCAAGCTACAAGAGCAAAAATACTCACCAAGGTTGTCAGCTCCTCTTGGTATGATCACATCTGCATATTTCTTTGTCTAAATAGCATCAATAAAAAGGAAAAAGGTTAGACCATGAAGGACACAACCATGCAAACAGAGTTGTGTAAATGTAGTGTAGCACTTACTGGCAGACAAAACTCCTCAAAAGCCGGCTTGACAAAAGTGATGTACTGTGCTAGGACGCTCTCCAAGTCCCGTCCACGTTCACTTATATCACGCAGCACTGGTGGAAATGACACCAGGGACAAGTTATGTGGTTTCACATTTCGGGAAAAGGCTTGTTTGCTTGTGTGCTGAGTTAGTGTAGATGAGACGATTGATACTGTACAGAAAATATGAAGCTACTGCCAGTTTGTTTAATCAAACATTCCAGGAAATTACTGGGCGCAGACGA